TTATAAATGGATAATAATTTATAGATTTTTATGAGAATTGAATTAAATAGCATTTAAATTACTTAAGTACCTTGGGTATAACAGATCCTAAAAGGTGCCTTATTTTTCGTACCTTAATTATCTATTTATTTAGGGAAAGGGCTGCCTCTCATCGCCTTATTTCCAGCACCTAGCACTGTATTTGGTCCAGAGTATGTGCAAGATAAGTTTTCTCAATCAATAGAAAATTAATGAAAATGGGATCAAAATCATGATAAGAATTTTAAACAATTAGAAATCAAAGGGAAAAACTAGTTTTCAAGTAAATATAAAGCATTTAAGACTTTATTACACTGCTCTTTCTTCAAACGGTATTTAACAAATGATGTTTCTCTGTCACTCAAACAGATTTTCTTTTATAAATTTGGAATGATGCCTTAGGAAGGGAATTTGAGATTATCTACCTCTCCTTTTCAGATGACAGTATCAAGGCTGCACAATGAATTTGTGGTGGTCTGAGGATTGGAAAGTCACTCTCCAAGCATATTCAGTAGACTCTCTTCATCCAAGCCCCCCACTGGTTGCCAGAAACCGTGGATAGTACCAAACCCTATATATACTATGCTTTGTCCTAAACATACATCCTTATGATAAAGTTTTATTTATAAACTAGGCACAGAGATCAACAATAATAATGAATAATAAACTAAATAATAAAATAGAGCAATTATAACAATATTCTGTAGTAACAGTTGTGTGCATGTGGTCTCTCTGTAAAGATACCTTTCTTGTGATGATGTGAAATGATAAAATGCCTGCATGAGGAGATTAAATGAGGTGAATGATGTAACCATCGTTAACCTAGCGTTAGACTGTTATTGACCTTCTGATGTTACATCAGGAGGATCATCTGCTTCAGGACCTCACTGACCCAGGTAACTCAAAGAGCAGAAAGTGAAACCGTGGATAAAAGGTGGGGGGGAGGGACTACTGTAATTCACAATCATTGTTTCTCAGTCAAAAATATTGATTGAAAGGCTACTAATGTTTCTGTCATCTACTCTTCTAGACTTATAAAAGACAAAAGTATAAAATAGGTTTCTTTGCATGGGTAAATTATCTACATGTTTTTAATCCAGCAGATATTTATTTGTTGTTAAAGTTATTTGTGTATATAATAAACCCTTGAAACCAGTAAAACCACTTGCATAATAGAGCCATTGATGTAATACAATATAGTGAGATCCTAAAACTGTTTATTTAGTAGTTTATTCAATTGACTGCCTAAAATACTGGTTCTTGTCATCTGAAGCATGCCCATCCTTCACTGCCAAGGTAAAATTTTGCTTGATACAAGGTGCCTAGGGTACTGAAAATTGGGATTCCAGTTCTGGCTTCATGTCTAACTAAGCAACACTACAAGCTTGGAGTCTCTTTGTACATAAAGAAGGATTTACATAGATCATTTCTAAGTTCCTCCCCTGCTTTAAAAGTTGTAAGGTACTACAGTGCACTTTGCCTTACTCTACCCTTTCTTTTCTGATTTCCAGTGGTGCTTCCTAGCTGCTACCAAATAATATGGTGCTTGGAAAATAATGTATATAGCTTCATGTGACTTTCACTCTGTTTATCATTTGTATGTCTTATTTCCTAAAAAATGCAAATTCTTCAGGGAAAGACAGTACTAAACTCCTTTACTCTCTCTCTCTCACTTATGACTAGTAATACTAAGAACACACTTGATACTTGTTGGTTCATTTAATAAAGCCGATGTTCAAAAACTTAAGCTTGGGAAACAACTGGATGACTATCAATGTTACTGTATAAAAGGGAGCTATTGCTCTACCAAGGAACTGATATTTGAGAGGTGTAGAGAATTGTCAAAACTTTCCATTTGGCAGACTTTACTGGAGGGACTGCCTACATATACCAATCGCACTTCTCTGCCCCTTCTCTCTTTAAGAACTACATTTACCCACACCCACCCTAAAGGAAATGAATAAATGGAGTTTGGATTACCAACGCCAACCTCTGCCAGAAGAAGAACAAAGAAAGCAGTTGCAGAAAATGGCAATTTGATGACGAAGGCTGTGTGAGGGTTCTCTTTTTATGTCACTTCTCCTTTCCCTACCAATTAATCTGAAACACATCTCCTCATTCTGAATACATCTTTCTCTTCCCTCTCTTCTCCCACTCTCACATAAGGCTCGAGAAATGATTTTTAATGTGTAGAATGAGTGGTGCTTCAGAGTTTATGGTCTTATTTGATCTTCCTCAGAACCATGTGAAGTACAGAATTTAGCATCTGAATGGTGCAGAGTGAAGAAACTATGAGGTCAGAATCTCTCCAAGGTAGTATATAAAACCAGAAGCCAAAAAATAGTAGTACATCCTCCTTCCCCACTTGTTGTGTCCTTTCTTTTTTGATTTTTTTTTTGTCCTTAAATCTCCTTCCCATTATACTGCGGTGGTTTAAATATAAGATAATAAATGGGACATTAAACACTCTGAAGATAAAAACCGAGACATAGAGCAGTCTTTAAAATAAAGTGATGTTCTCCATCTTGGTAATAAAATGAATATACCTAATATATAATGTAATGTGAACAGTATCTTAATAGAGTATATTTGTGAATTCCATTATTACAAGCATTTCCAAGATTGCTAAAATTCAGAGGGAAGGAGCTTATTTTTGAAATTTTGGGCCAATGTTCTCTCTTGCCTCCGTTTTGGTAGATTTTCACGGGGATTATTCCAGAACTGGTACAAAAGGATGGTGAACTCTCATCTCTTCCATATTCCTGGCTTTGGCCTCTCAGAGTATCAGATTTTCTTTTTAAACACTGCAATTAATGAAGTATAGCCAATTTAATTTTAAAGAGTATATGCCAAATATTTCCCATGACTCGTGATGTTCTCCTTATATCCAGTTGAACTGTGATCTGTGAACTGATTAACTTTGCCCTTTTCTTCTTCTTGTAAAAGCCTGCAGGTAGGTACTGATCCATTCCAATTAATATCTAATGGTGATAAACTAAAGACAAAACTCCAGCTAACAGCTTCCATCTGTGGTTATGCATAAAATATCTGCTTCTGGCAAGTGACACTATATGCAAATTTTAAAATTTCAATGCTGCAGGAATTACATAATGAATTCATATATGCCAAAAATAGAGATTCCCCCACTTTTCATCACCTTCCCTTTCGTTAATGCTCAGGAACCCTATAAATACAGTTAGAAATACATTTTAATCTTTATATATTTTTCTTAATATGCTGGTCTTAAATTTTTCTCTTGTCTCGGCTGCCAGTACCAATGAATACATTATATTTTGGTCCCCACATTTTAAAGAAATGTAAAATTCACTCAATTTAACTAGTATTAATTAAAGAAATTGACATTACTTTTGGTATCACTGTAACATTCTTAAGGCTAGTGCCCATGTTGAATTATTACTCTGTTCCCCTAGTACCTTATATTTAGATTATACTTGTTTTCTTGAGGCCTCTGTATTTGCTGCCAACAAAACTGTCCAACCATATGATTTACTGTACTCAGGCTTAAAAATGGATGTAAGTAATGTATTCCATGTGCCACTATACAGGTTTTTTACTTCTGTTATTTCAGAAAGGAAATTGTCTAATCCCAACCCCCCCACCCTTTATCTTTCTCTCTCCCTCCCTCTCCAGGAAGCGTCTCGTTGGTTTTAAGTTGTTCCAGCTTTAGTGAACATATATTTATGTATTAGGCTAGTGTTAATTTCGAGAGAGTATCATCCTTAGAGAGAGCACTGTCTTTACAAATAGTCAAATTAATAAGTTAATTGACATAAATGGACGAGTCTTAGTGGTATCCAAGGGCTCAAAAAAATGTTAGCAACTTGAAGGCTCAACCTTTTAGAGCCAACATGTTCTTTATGAATGTATAACTGTGCACTGTGTACCTGCCATCGAGAAACCGAGCATTTGTGGTTTAACAATGCAGGTCTGTTGTCTGTTAGTAAGTATGCTGTCTTACTTGCCTGGGAACTGGGTAAACTCTAGAAATTAAAAAAAGGAAAGGTGGTGAAAAGTGAAGAGATCTCTTTTTTTAGGCATATAAGAACACATTATATAACTTCTACAGCACTTGATTCTTTTTTAAGTCAAGTGGGAGATAGGAAGGTAAGTTTCCACTCTTTTGATAGTTGTTTTGTGGGTTTTTTTTTTTTTTTTGTAAATCATCTTTGTGGAAAAGTATATGTGTTCCTCACATTTCAGTAACTCTTAAGAGTATACTTTTAACTTGTAAACCACTCAGGTTAATTCTCTCACTCGAGGGATTCAATTACAAAACATTGCCTCTAGTGAGAAAAGTAATTCTAAAGGCATATTTGCATGTGCTGTGTCTGTGTTGACCTTTATTTTATTCTCTTTAGATACTCAGTGAGTTTAGCTGGGTTCTCTGAATCTCCAAGGTATTAGAATAATGGCAATTTTATGATCAGTAAACGTTCTGGGAGTAGAAAATGTGAGCTTTGAGAAGCATGGGAAGGCTGGGGAGTTTACCCTTTGGGACAAGGCACATAATGAGGAATCACACTGGGCAATTTTTTAGTTTATGGGAACTCTGAGAGCAACAATTCTCACTCCCAGATAGATGTTTGGGAATAGCAATTCAGTGACTGTGGAGAGGGTGACCTTGGATATGACTAATCAAGAATGAATGAACTTGCTACAGAAATTAAGTAAAAAGATATTGGACAAAATAATATGCCAGAGAAATGGTTCAGGCAATGGATCTATTAACCTTCAGAAAGAAGAAATCAGCCAATCGTTTTGATTCAGGGAGAAGTGTTATTTTATTGATGAACACAATTCCATGTTCAATGTCTTATTAAGCTTTGTAGAGGACACTTTGGAAACACTGCCCAGTCACAGTCACCATTTCTTTACAACCTGGTTCCTTCACAGGGATCAGCCTTGACAGCCATGTTGCTCAGTGCATGCCTTTTGCTTACAGCCTTGGTGGATCCAGTCAGAGGCCACTCAGTTCCTGACTGAGAACGTGCACGTGGAGGAGATTGCTGTTTTGGGGGGCTGAACCACTAAAGCCCAAGTTCAGGGAGCATAGAATAACCATCTTTTATGAGACATAGGAACCAGAGAGACCAGAGAAGAACAGAGAGGTGAGAACAAACATCCACATGGCACTGAAGTCCCTCATATCAGCATTTGCCTGCTTCCTCCCTTGGGTTCCCATGGGACAGCCCTAATCTAAACCACCTCTGCCTTTTCTTCCCCTCAAGCTAGTTTATGTAGGTCACTGCTGGCTAAGTCCTAAAGATTGACTCAAGTATTTCTTCTGGTAGTCAGTGAACTGCTCACTTTTTTTTTTATATTTCCTAATGAATTACATTTACTTCTATTAATAAGGAGAGTCTGCAGAGGTGGATAATATCATGTAATTACATTCAAAATGAGAAATATACTACTTGTTATTAACAAAAAGAGATGAAATGCAGAAAAAAATTATTATTGTGATTGTTGCTATGGCTGTTTACCTCCCTTTTATTACTGATTGATTTCGAAGTCAAAGTTAATATAGACTACATTTAATTTTAATGCTTAGTATTAAATATTTAAAATACAAAAAATGCAAAATTATGATCCTTTTAAGAAGACAATTTTTAATCTTATAAAGGAAGAAAAAAGTGCATATAATTAAATTCAGAAATTATTTATTCAATGTGGCTAACAGTTTGATATGTACAAGAAGCAGCTGAGAAGCTTGTTCAGAAAATGTGTGTGTGGGGGGTACACGATAACAATTCTGATATCGCTACATATGTTTATTTGAGTTGAACAATTAAATAAATGGATGGTGGATGGTAGGAGCCAGATTTCTCATTATTGGGGTGGAAATTTTCAGGTAAGCAAGGTGAAGAGACTAGAATGATTCATGTGGTTACAGAATAGAGTTAGAGACAACAGTAAGAACGCATAATTGGCTTAATATATTTAGCTTAATAGTTTTAAATACATATAGTTGCATGTTAAAATACTTATAGATATGTGTATACACACAGGTTAACGTAAACATATATTTTCTTGTTCTGTCAGCTGACTGTACCTGAAAGAAACGACACCCCAGAAGCAATGAGCACACCTAGCACAGAGATCTTGGTGTCTGACGCTATTCTCCAATAAAAGGAAACATGGCTGCTTCTTCACCTGGGGCAAAAAAGGTGAGCCCAGAGCATCTCATAGTGCCAGAAAGTAAGAAAGTGCTAAAAAAAAGAACAAACAGTAAAACCCACTGTGATGAGAATATCAAAGGGACATAGAAGACAAGTGAAAGAGCTCCCAATGATCACGCTAAGATACTTTGAACAAACATGATAAAGGAGCATTAGATTGTAACCCAAAGTATAAAATAAATGTCCACAAGTTTATACTGATATAAATAAATGATTGAATAAAGTATTAAAACAGGAGAGAACAGACAAATCTTCCATGCGTAAGAACTCCAAATAACTTATATAGATATTCTGGCCTAATGGAGATATGTGTTTAAACTGGTGTGAGCATAGTAACTTCCTTCCAATGAATACAGTATGGGAAAGGGGGAAAAAGTAATTTTATGGTGAAGAAACCTGATAAAACTACCTCAGCCAGGTGATCAAGGTCAACATCAACAGTCATGTCATGTCGACAGTATGGATCCTTGATATGTGATGTGAATTGAAATAACTCTCTTTCATTGTCTTTTCCTAAACCCATAACCTCAGTCTACTTATGAGAACAGCATCAGATAAATTTTAAGTGTGTCATTGTCATTATATATAGTACTTTATATTGTATATAGTTTATGGTACTTTACCAGTGTTCCTCAAAATTGTAAAGGTCATTGAAAGAGAAAATATGAGGAACATTCATAGCCAAGAGGAGGCTAAGGAGATGTAACAATTATGTTTAATACAGGATTCTGGAACAGATAAAAGACTTGAGGAAAAAATTAAAGGAATCTGATAAAGTATGGACTTTAAAGTTAATACAATGTATCAGCATTGGTTCATCTGTTGTAACATACTGTTTTAATGTAAGATGTTAACAGTAGGGGAAAATATATGAGGGGTATATGATCTTCCCAGTTTTTCTGTTAAAAAATAAGGTCTATTTGAGGGAGAAAAAGAAAAGTAGATTATCAGGTCAGCCCCAAAAGATTTTTATGTAAGAGGACTGAAGTGCACTCCTGATTCTAATTCTTCCGGTCTACAACCACATTTGGGGGAATATTGCCCTAGTGTGTGAATTTTTTGAGGGTAGTAATTGTTTTGTTCAGTGTTCACTGAAATATATTTACTAATGACAGATTACTTATCTGGCCAACCCTCCTTTTTTAACTCTACTTTCCTGGATTATCTTCACCTCCTGGATTTTTAAAAGTTGGAGATCATCAGGGGTTGGTCTTAACACCTTTTTTCTTTCACTTGTGGTAGATGCTGTCACTTTCTTCCCAAATCCAGCATGATAGCACCCATTCTCCCAGCTGTGAGGGATGCATAGAGAGCCCTTATGTGTTGGAAAAGACTTCATTTAATGACTGGCCAACACAGGACTACAAAGGCCTGAAACCTTTCCTTACTTTTGTACAATTTTGAAATTATGTTCTGGTTTTAGCATCCCTGTGATGTGACCTGGGGCCTTTTATATTTCATCATAGTCCAACTTCTCACACTGTTCATTTAGACTCTTTTTCTTTCATACTTTTTTGATCCTAAGAGTTTTCTCTAATAAACTACCTATCAGCTAATTCTCACTATAAAGCCTGTTTCCTAGGAAACTCAAAGTGCAACCTCACTGCATACTTCCTCCGGGAGTGAGTTCCATACACATCAGTGGTTTCCTTTTCCCTCTGTATTGTTATCTTTAATTTCTATCTCTATACCAAATCTCCTCCAAATGCCAGACCATATATCTCACAGATGTCTCAAAATATTCACTTGGATACCTCACTGTCAGCTAAAAATAAATATGCCAAAAATGGAAATCATAATTTCTACTCTGAAACTTTGTCCTCCTTCAGCCCTGCTTAGTGTAGCTGGATATAGTCTAAGAAAATACCTATGGTCTAGATCGTAGTATCACGTACAAGACTGTTAATATGGTCACCACAACACTCTATAGAAGGGTAAAGGCCAGTAGGTCCAATGTAAGGCATTTTCTTAAGCACTTTAAACATATTAGTTCATTTATCTCTCTCAACAACTCCATGAAGTAAGTTTCATTATAGTATTTTTAAAATTTTTTATAGAAAACTGCCATACAAAGAAGTATATAAATTGTCCAAGGTCCTAATGTCAAAACAAGGATTTGTACATCAATAATATGTGTCCTAAAATCCATATGCTAATTATTTTCTTATCCTGCCTCATTCACACAAGTATTAGTTTGATTTTGAATGTATTTGGTTGAGACTGATGGGTAAAAGGAATAGCTGGTCATATATGTTGTGGTTGGTAAGAACCACAACAGGCAGAAACATATTATTTAACTATACTATAATTTTTATATCCTCTTGTACTTGATGAAAGGAATGTCAGCTCCTCATGACAAGAAGAGAAGATTCCTGATCCTAGGATACAGAGTTCACCTAAACAAACTTATACTATGTTCCTTTTGGCTAGCAAGTTTGGATTAATACTACCCAAATTCAAAACCTATCTACCTATGTATCATTGAGATATATATCCTCATGTGTATACCAGAGTCAAAGCCCTTATCCATCCATCCATCAGATGAGCAAGCTAGAAGCCAAAACTTGAGTGTTATCATTGAAATCTCTCTCACTCCACCAATCGATTTTCAAGTCAAATTATTTTATAAATGTATCTAAAAGTCACTCACTTCTCAGCATCCAAAGCATGAATCTTATCACTACCCCTATAATTTCACTCAGGACTCCCCACACCTCCACCCTTGATGCTAGCTCATGGATCCTGCAAAGACTCTCTACCTAGTCTCCCTCTATCTACTTTTGCCTTCCCAATCAATCTTCTTTCGGTATCATAGAGTAGCGTTTTTAAAATAAAAATATGATAACATCTATTTCCTGCTTAAAACCTTTCAGTGACTTCCGCTTGCTCTTAAGAGAAAGACCAAAATGTACATTGTGCCTTACAGGGCTGCATATGCTGATTCTCCTTGCCTATCTTTTCCTGGTCAATGCTGTTATTATTCCTCTGTCCAACTTCTTTCAGACCTATTAGCATGTACCATGCCCCTTCCCATCTCAGGACTATGTCCATGCTGCTTTTTCTCTACAGAAACTCTCAACCCCATATATGGGTTGACTCATATTTCAAATTTCCATTCAATCAACACTTTTTGAAAGAGCTTGCAAAACTCCCAGCGTTCCCTCTCATAGCACTATGCCTTTTCCTTTACAGCTAAGTTGTCCAGTGGTTGACCATTAAATTCATTTTAAATTATGGCCAACTACATATAAGAACAACTCAAGAAAACACTCTTAAATGTATTTTGGACATTTTGATGTATTATATTCACAAACAACCCTTTTAAAACTTTTATTGGATTTAATGACCTCCAGCGGTTAAAACATTTTATTTCAAACACTGCATTTGGCTGGGGGCAAAGGCAAAAGCTGGGCATCTCAACCAGTTTATGGAGATACCTCTGGATCCAAACTCTCTTCCCATAAACCCAGCCTTATTAAAAGTAAATCGTAAAGCATGTGAGACAAATAGTTCAGGCTTTAAAAATCTAAGAAAAAAGCCAACTCATTTGTTGCCAAGATTCCATTTTTCACAGAATTGTAGGACCTTTGGTTTGTGAAGCATTTCATTTGAAATCAATATACCTCCTCTAACCATGAGGATGGAGAGAGTCGTTGTAAAACTGAGGGAAGGGGACAAGGAATTCAGTGGATCTGAGTATAGAAAAAGTCACCTGGTCTGATATCTTAGATGAGGAGCATGATTTAAAAGTCAAAGAATCAAAAAGTTAGTGGGACAGGAGTTGAAAAAGAAAATTGGTGATGCCTTTAAAAAGCTTGAGTCAGGGGGCAACTGGCTGGTTCAGTTGGTAGAGCACGTGACTCTTGATCTCAGGGTCAGGAGTTCAAATCTCACACTGGGCATGGAGCCTACTTAAAAATAAATAAATAAAAAAAAGTAAAATGCTTGAGTCAGGACTTTGATTCTAAAATTGGCTATCCCATATCTCCTGCTGGGTGACACACAAGAACCAGGTCATGATGCTCACGCATGGGAGTAGGTTATATTTAAAGTCTCAGTCATCTCCTCTCCACCTGCCATTTTCCACGTTGCATTTGCGTGGCACATCTTGAGCAAAACGTGGAGTCTTTAAAGTGTGATTGCATAGTGTTCTTCTCTACTTTCTGAATCATTTGTCCCCATTTAAGGATAAAACATTTCTAAAATCCAGGAAAGAAAAAAGAAATATTTCTCATTGAACACCTAGAGTATGCCAGGACAACACTGTCACATTTAATCCTTGAGGCTTCCCCAATCCTGGTGGTGAAAATTTCCACTTCAGAAGATGGGAAGCAGAGAGTGCAGAAGAATCAACATCTTTTCTACATCATAAAATTCCAGAGTGGAACCTGTGTCTCTTTCTAATGCCCATTTTTTCCCCATTATACTAAGTTAGTCATCTGTTGTTCTCCAGGTCTCTGTACAATCCCCTCTATCAAAATGTAAGCTTATTTTTCTTTATTTCACACAATACACAATCTAATTCATGCTTTGACAGCAGTTGGTTGCCCACAAAGAAGACATTCATTTTAAGCAGTTCCCTATCTCTTTATGATCTGCAAGGGTTAAAAGATTTCATTTAGGGAAGGAATTTCAGACTTCCGATGAGCTGTGGGGGATTGGAGAGCCATATTAGGATCAGTTGGTTGGCTTTGCAGGTAAAGCTCACTTAACCTTTCTTTAGGGTGACTGCAGCCTGAAAGGAGATTCTGCTTCCCATTAGGCTGAGCCAGTCCTCAGTGGAGATGACCTGAAGGCAGGAGAGGTGGCCGCTGCTCTAACTGCCTATTTCAGGCCACTCCTGGCTGTTGCTTAGCCAAGGGTTCTTTCTTCACTAGCTTCTCCTAAAGGACCTTTAGAGTAATGTTTCCACAGTGGCAGAGCAAATAGGAATCCCTCAGAAAAAGAATAATAATCCTCAGAATTAGGGTCCAGCTATCTACTTTTTTTTATCAAGCCCTAGTGGTCCAAAAAAATCACACTTTGAGAAACGCTAATGTGGAGACAGTCCTTTCTGACTATGTGCCTGCTAAGTGTCCATCCTGCAGATTTTATTGCCTCTCTACCTCTTTTTGCTAAACTTCCTTCAACTTTCCTGTCCCCTATTCTGCCAACCCAATGACATTATTTTAGTTAGTAATGTACTATATATTATTTATTTGTTATTTATTATTTGCTGATGTCTTTCGTCTCTAGAGATTATATACTTCTTTAAAATCTCTGATACAGTTCTTGACAACAATGCAGTAAATACAAGAGTAGATTTTCTTTAATAAAAGAAGCATTACTCTATTGGCAAAGCATATCCCCATGCTATTAATACTGAACGATGTTCTAAAGTTTATATCAGCTGTCACATTAGTACGGCAAATCAATATTTTCGATCTGCAAAAAAGAGAAAGCAAGTATGTTGGTGAAAAGAATAGAAAAACTTTTTTTTTGGCCAGGCTTGACCTTTATCAAGATGATGGATTGAAATGATCCAAAATGTTGACAGAATGCTTTTGCTGAGCTTTTGCTGAGATGACCAGATACCATAGTCACTGGAGTCGTTATAGCCCAGAAACAAAGCTGATTGAAGTTAGGCCATTTGCCTAATAAAGATGGAAGAGGGAGGCAAGTTGTTATATTTGTCTTATCTTACATGGATGAGTTTTGGCAGAATGGTTGAATAAGACTTAAATTACAGTTTCTCTCTTTTGTTAGCCAGGTTCCCAAATAACATTACCATATATGGCATTTTAAGGACTACCTCTGAACAGAGTCTCTCAAAGCCTTTGGCTATAAACTTTCTGAGGAACATTATCTAATCTCATCGTTTCATGAATCATAATTATAAAATGACTCTCAAATCTCTATCTCAAGTCATTCTTTTCTGGGTTATAGTCCTGAATCCCCAACACAAAGTCAGTATGCCCCACAAAAATGTCTTCTCCTTTCTCCTCACCATAGCTCCCTCTCTGGGCTTAATTTTACTTTTGAAAATGCTATGAGCATTCACTGAGTAATTAACACTTAAATCTGAGAGGATCCCTTTTTTCCCATATTAACCACTCAAAACCAATTTTCCACCAAAGTCTTTAAATTTTTGCCTCAAAATGTTTTTCTAATTTCCAGCATCATGACCCTGGACCAAGTCTTAACTCCACTGTGAGCTTCCTTACATGTATCTCCATTTCTTCCTTATTCAGCAAATTCTGCACTCTTCCACCAGCTTAATCTTTCCAAATTGCAGCCCTCATATTGTCCCTCAAGTTTTCAATAGATTTCCAATGTCTGTAAAATTATTAACCTTGTGCCCAGTTATTGGAAGCCACTTCTTACTTTTCTAGCTCTATTCTAAAGCTCCCTGTATATACTTTTAAATTTCTATAAATAGGTGTATTCGGCTGAATGGCATCCCCCTAAAAGATATGTCTACTTAGAATCTGTGAAAGTGATCATATTTGGAAAAGGGGTCTTTGCTGATGTAATTAAGGACCTCAAGATGAGGTCATCCTGGATTAGAGTGGCCCTAAATCCAACAAGTGTCCCTATAAGAGAAGAGACAGGGAGAAGACATGGGAGAAAGCCATGTGAAGATGGAGGCAGAAATTGGAGTTATCCAAGCCAGGAAACACCAGGAGGCACCAGAACCTGGAAGAAGGAAGGAAGGATTTTCCCTTAAAGCCTTTGGATGGAGTGTGACCCCTACTGACACCTTGATATCAGACTTATGGCCTCCAGGACTGTGAAAAAGTAAGTGTCTCTTGTTATAAGCCACCCTGTTTGTCTAATTTGTCTAATGAGTTGCAGCAACCCTAGGAAACTAACACAATAGGTCAGCTGAGTCTTCCTAGTGGTATCTACTCTTGTGATTCCTCTTGTTTAAGATGCTCACCATACCTCTCATACCTCTCCTCCTGTTAAAATGATAGTCAACATTTTTTTTTTTTTAAAGATTTTATTTATTTATTTGAGACAGAGAGAATGAGAGACAGAGAGCATGAGAGGGAGGAGGGTCAGAGGGAGAAGCAGACTCCCCGCCGAGCAGGGAGCCCGATTCGGGACTCGATCCCGGGACTCCAGGATCATGACCTGAGCCGAAGGCAGTCGCTTAACCAACTGAGCCACCCAGGCGCCCGATAGTCAACATTTTTAAGTACATACAACAAAAGGCACACTGTTCTAAGACTTTCCATATATGAAATTCTTCAAAGCTTTCAACTTCCTATAAAATAGGTATCATTATGTCTGCAAATAAGTAGCCATACTTTCCAGATGAGCTGAATTGAACAGAAAAAGTCTTACTCTAGAATCCATACTCCCAGTGCTTTCAAAAACATCAAGGCCAAAGTTCAAAATATACCTCTTCTGTAAAATTTTTCCTGATCACCTAACTGGAAGAGATCTTTATGATTTCCTATAGTTATTTTGGTAAGTACCACTCATAAAACATAGCATAGACTGTTTTACATATACTTTATTTATTCACTCAGCTAGATTTTAAAATGCCTAAAAGAAGTGACTATGTCATAGAAATATATATCTCTAATTTTCTTCTACAGAGGCTGGCATAGAGTTCCTCTAGGTTCAAAATTAATGTCATTGAATGAGTACATGTGGTAGAAGACAAATCAAATGATCATGTATAACACAAGTTTAAAAGGGTGAAACCATTTGTCTGAGGTTGTTTAAAAAAAAAAAAAAAAGAAGCTGACCTTCGGATTTCTGACTCACTAATTCATTATTCTCTCACCATTGGGTCTCCTCTTACTTTATCTAACAAACTTAGAATACAGGAGTATGTTTAAAATATTTGGTTTTAGTAACTTTCACTAACAATAATTTCCAAATAGAAGACATATAAAATAATTAAATTTCATAAAACTGGGAAATTTTTCAAATCTTTAAAAAATAATTTAACAGATAAAGTGAATGTTTGTTAATATAATTGGTTATTTGGCTTTATTTTCAAATGTAAATATAAAAAAAAAAGTAAGAAAGTCATTGCTTTGGGAACACCAAATCAAGATGCTAAATTCAGTGACTTATTTATTCTCTGCAGGGATAGAAAGAATGACTCACCTCCTTCTTCCCTTTCTAGACTCAGTCATCTTTCTTGAACAATTTGTGTGAAAGCAGAATTACCTCAAGAGACATGAGAAACCCCATCTAAAGCATACTTTATAACTCTAGAGAAGGGTTTTCCCAGCTCTGATTTTATAATCCATAAAATTTTGAAAGATGATAATATGTATGTTTCAGTTCTAAGACTTAATCAATGCTACGTCTATGAAAAAAATATCTAAAATAAACATAATGCTTCTTTTTTCTTTGTAGAAATAAATATGAAGGAAGTGTTTTAACAAGTAAAATTTTTAAAATCATTGATAATAAAACAGTATAAGCATCAAATCTGAGTATGCATAAAAAACATAAAGTTAAATATTTTCTCCAAGATTTTAGTTCCCTGTCACTGAAGAAAAAATTATTTGATTGAAGTGAGGGCATAGCAAGGAAGAATGAATAGAAGGCATCAAGAATATGATCAAGGTCAGAGCACAGTACATGCTTGTATCAGTTAGGAATGCTTCAGCTCAAAGTAAGAGAACATTCAAATAATAATAGTTTGAATAAAGATTTATTTATTTACACATAATATGAAATCTGGACATTGACAACTAATGGTGATGGTTCCTCAGCTTAGGAGTATCCAGAATCTCCATGATTCACTTGGCTTTTTCTCATGGTCCTCATCTCAGAAATACTATAACTGTAAATGAGCAAAAGCCATTTACTCAGAAAAGCAAAAGGCTTCTGGGAAGCCCCATTCAATTTGCTTTTTTTTTTAATATTCTACTGGCCAGAACTGTGTCAAATGGTCACCTCTGTGGAGACCATAGAGGGTAGCAATTGGATCATCCAAACATCCAAAATAGTATCTGCTACATAACCACAATGGAAAGTGACAGTGATAGGTTTCATGGGGAATTTTGTAATCATAACCAGAGGATACTATTTTCTTGAAAGACAGAGCTAAGGTTAAATATGACTCTGTATATTTACATAAAGAATTTGAAAGCAGTCGAAGCTTCCTCAGTGCAATGATACCTATAACTGCATTCTGTATCATTTTCTTTTTCCATTTTGAAATCATTCTTTCTGGAATCATCCACATGACTGAATCCTTTTCAACCTGGTCTGAATTCAAATGTTACCTCCTTACAGTACTCTGACCATTTTAACTAAGTAACATCCTTCCCATTCATCACTCTTACATTATTTGTTTATATATTTATTGTCTTTCTTTCTGAGTGGAATAGAAGCTCTGTGGGTACGGGCTTTGTCTTGTTCACAAACACATCCCCTGTACCTTAGAACATCTAGCCTATAGTTCAGTATTCGATAAATGTTGATAGAATGCACAAATATATATATATATATGTGTGTATATATCTCTGCATACCATCTATGTCTATATCTAGATTTATCAGTCATCTATATTTAGAGAGTTTTTCTAAAAAGTTAAAACAAGCTATAGAATTTATATCTCATTGTAATAAACTTTCCTGCAACCAGCATAATGTATCTGATGATGAAACCAGTATGCTTATTCAGACAGAGTGACTTTAACATGAAGGTTTATTGGCTATTCCTGTCCCTGGGCCCTGACAATCACAAGTGAAATATCTGAGCTTAACTTCATAGAAATGATAATTTTAAATGTGATTATGATTTAGTTCCTTATAATAACGCATACAACTTCTTACAAATGTAATCATTCATACAACTTCTTTCAAACATATATTTTTCTGATTTCTTCTTGACAACTTACTAATTACAGTAATCAAACATATTTTCTATGAATTAATTTTTAAAAAGTTTTAATTAGAATATATATAGAAATGGGTAATATACAAAAGAAACCATTTTAATGAGTGTGATTTAACTAGAGTAGCTGCCATTTAAAGGTGTCTAGCTTCTCTGTTTAGCTTGGTGAGAGCAAAACACCTTGAAACAGATCTTTGGTTTTGAGAAGAATTCCTTGAATGATTTCTTAATTATGAGGATGTAAAGCAATCAGGCAGCCATTTTTCCTGAAAAAAAAGGGGGGGGGAGGAGTGTAATGGGTACTTCACAAGAGTATATACATATTCATAGAAAACCATGAAAGGGGATCCAAACACTTTGGGCCAAAATATCCTTAGACTATCCCTGATGGATTGAGATGGCCCTGACCTACAGGAAATGATGTTTAAGTACAGATGCCCAGACTTACAATGCAGTCTTAATCACCTAGGCCTGGATTGTCCTGGGTGGAGTGGAATAGTCCTGGAGACATATCTTGGCAGGTGGCTCTGTTCCACTCCTCACAATAGGCAATGGAAATGATAAAGGGCTCTCTGAGGCAATGATAAAAGATAATCTAGTTCTTGGCCAGGTGCCTAGAGTGATGCTATTGGAACAGAGTGGACAAGAGCAATGACCATGATATGGTGACTCATGGAAGCTGACATGGGCTTACACCAAAGTGCACACTTGATGACTAATGTTACCATGGACCTGGAGTGACCAGGATGAAATCTTTAATTATGAACAGCAGTATGTCAGTCCAGAGCAAGAGCAAAAGTCAAAGCATCAGCAAAGGGAGTATCTCTTTGGATCATTCATCTTGCAACTTGGCTTATGTTACCTCTAAGTATGATTTTGATATCTGCTAGCCTCAAGATGATGCATCTGACATCTGGGGCTAATGCTGAGGTGGGATAAATTAAGACTAAAGTATGCAAGTTTAAACACTGGACCTGTAATTATCTTAGGAAAATTCCCTGAATGGTAAAAAAAAAAATATCTGACCCATACTACATGCCATTAAAATGTTAAATGAGGGCTATTTTAATTCTTGATGCAAATGATCTTTAATTCAATCAACAAAACAACTAGTTGATACGAAATGCCCTTTCTGCAATCACTTATTGAAAGTTCAGTAGTTGAGTGACTGTGATAGGTTCTCAGGACAGGGTGAGGTGCTGAAAATGTGTTCTTTATTTTACCAATGTACTCATTTTGCTCTGGGCATGAAGGTTTCTTGCTATTCCTCAAACTCATGAGGGTACTTCTCTCCTAAGTAGATGGCTCATTGCTTCCACTCATTAAAGTCTTTGCTCCTGTGTCACCTTGCAAATGAGCTGAACCTCCTCCCTGAACCACTTCTATGAACTATCCCTTTTAAAAATTGCAACCCCCCCCAATATATACCTTGGTATTATATATCCACCCTGCTGTTGTGTCATTTTTCCTCAAACTATGTATTCCATGATGTACTAATTAATTAATTAATTAATTAATTTATTTGTTTATTGAATGAATATTCTCATCCTCACCAACAAGAATGTAGGCTCTATTAGAGCAGAAATTTTTGTATGTTTATTTACTGATATATGGCTGAAGTCTGGCCATAAATACTCGATAAAAATTGGTGAATGAATAAATGGCTAACTGAATAAATGTAGGTAAGAATGCAGAGAAATAACTGTAGCATGAAGCTTGAATTAATAGGAGCCAGGAAGAAAGTAAGCAAGGAGTTATAAGGTTATTGCAGAGTGATTGTAATGCAGCAGTGAGGGAAAGCATGAAAGAGAAGGAAACTTCTGAGTTGGACCACATAAGAGGAAGGGTTAAGGCTAGTAGAATTTTACATGTGTAGAAGCCAGGAATTGGAGAAATAGCTGAGCAAAAGCAAAGATGAGCAGTTA